CCCAGAGCCCCCGGTGGGAGCCAAGGGACTGGCGGCAGCAGCTGGAGCGCATCCGAGAAATGAGGAGGAGCAGAGATGCTCCCGTGGATGAGATGGGAGTGGAGAAGTGTTACGACAGCAGCGCACCTCCGCAGGTAACAGCACCCCGCTGCTCTGCTCCGACAGGCAGGAACAGGGAGATACAGCCCGTTGGAAAAAGACCTTTAGGATCATTGAGTCCAGCCATAACCTGTCCAGCACTAAACCATGTCTCTAAGCACCTCATCTACCCATCTTTTAAATCCCTCCAGGGATGGTCACTGCACCACTTCCCTGGGCAGCCAGTTCCAACACCAGATAACCCTTTCAGTGAATACATTTTTGCCCCTGGATATGTCCCACTTCAAATGTCTCCAGAACAGAAAAATAAATGCAGGGTGTATCAGGACTCTGGGCTGGGATTGGTCCTGCAAGATGTTACGGCAGGAGTGTGCACATGACAGAGACCATTCATTCTGCTGGAGGAGAGTCAGCTGCTGACTCTCTGATACTGGGCTTGTTGGCTTCAGACACACTGCAACCGCAAAATGTCCCTTTTATTTTAAAAATACCTGTGGGACTCCAAGGAAAGTGTCCAGCAAGATGGCTCTGTAATGCAGAGGAAAACCAGTACGGAGAAGAGGCTCAGAAAAAGCTCTCCAGGCTGCTTTGATGCTCTTCAGAGCAGCACGTAAGCGTAGGTTGGCTTCCTCCCCTCTTGCAGTCCACTTTCAAGGGGATACTGGTTGAAAGGAAGGGCTGTGCTGGGATGGCACTGTGCTCCCCAAGCCTGGGAACACAATCAAAGGCCCTGGACGACGCCTCCCTCCGAGGGGACCGTTTGCATCAGTACAAAAAAACAAAGCCGTGGTGCGGCGCTGGGACCCGGGGCTGTGCTGGTGTGGGAACGTGGAGCTCGCCCACAGGCAGGCTCGGCGGAGCAGCAGGAACCATGAGCTATGCAGTGACCTGCTGGGCTGCGAGGGAGGGGTCTCCAAGGCCCAGCTGCACAGCTTTGGCCCGTGTAACGCTGTCCTTATTGCTGGCATCGTGCCTTGGGCTCGGGCTAACCGAGAAGATGGTTGGTTTTGACTCAGGGGTTAGCATCACACGCTCCGCAGCCGTGTGGGCTGGCACCAGGCACAGCTGTGGGGCCAGGGGGACCCCGGTGCACGGTACGGAAATAGCTGTGCTTCCCTTGGGTTGTTGCTTCCAAGAAAAAGTGGATGTTGTAACCCTCAGCACGCAGCTTCCCTGTGCTTGGAGATTACCCTGCCTCCATGCGCTCAGAGATTTTTTGTTCCTGGTGCACCTGTGATTTTGTAAACTTTGTGAGTGAGCCGGAGGAAGGGCTCGTCCCACGGTGTCTTGGGTCAGCTGAGGTTGGTTGCATCACCCTCCTCATTCTGGTGGGGACAGAATCGCATCTGGAGCAAAAATCAGTTGAAAAAGAGGAGATGAATGGTCTGGGCTGAACTCAGTGTGGCAGCATCAGAGGAACTTGTGGGTTTTGGGCTTCATCTCCCAGTCTCTGTCATCCCACTTATTTAAATTGGGTTTCATAAGGAGCCCACTGAGGCCACATACCCAGTTCCTGCTATGGGAAAGGGATGGGATTTTCAAAAGCTTCTTTAGAGCAGAAGTTGCATGAAAAATCATTGGGATTTGTACGCCTGTGTCCTGGGGGGGTCTCCTGAGAATCCCATAATCAGGAAGATGTTCTCATGTCTTGTAGATGGATAGAGCTGAACCGGAGTAGATCCATATCACACACCGCACTGCAGATGGTGCGGGGTGGGAGAACCTCTCAGAGATCTTGTGGTGTCTCACAGTCTCCTTTTCCCCAGGTTATGCGCTACCAGGTCCTGCTGTCGCTGATGCTCTCCAGCCAGACCAAGGACCAGGTGACGTCGGCTGCCATGCTGCGCCTCCGGCAGCGCGGCCTCACGGTCGACAGCATTTTGCAGATGGACGACGCGACGCTTGGGCGGCTCATTTACCCCGTGGGATTCTGGAGGGTGAGTGGAGGATCGTGCGCACGTAGAGGAACCCCCTCCACTCTCCTTAGAACAAGGGGAAACGGCACCAAGCTGTGCCAAGGGAGGTTCAGGTTAGAGATAAGAAGGAAGTTCTTTACTGAGAGGGTCGTCAGAAGCTGGAACAGGCTGCCCAGGGAGGTGGTGGAGTCACCATCCCTGGATGTGTTTAAAGAGCGGGTAGACGAGGTACTTAAGGATATGGTTTAGGGGGTAGACAGGAGAGGTTGGACATGATGATCTCAGAGGGCTTTTCCAACCGAGTGATTCTGTGATTCCTCCGCTCCCGTGAGCTGTTTGAGCAGCTCAGAGGAGTGCAGGGAAGCGCAGGTTTGTCCTTTGCAGGCTGTGCTGGTGGCCGTTCGCTGAGCTGGCACAGGTGATGGAGACAGGAGGTGGATATGAACCAGCCCTGCTCCTGTGAGATGCACCCTAGCTGCTGTCCAGCCATGCCCCGTGGGGATCCTCCCCCTGCAGTCACGCTGGAGGCTGTATTTTACACCAGTTTTAGCAATTGGCATTCACAGCAAGGCTGCAGTGCCTGGAGGGTGCAGGGGAGGTTGGAGCAAATCAGGAAAGCATTTGCTTTTAAGGAGAAGTCAGAGACCTCTGTCTCCCCTCCACAAACTCCAGCATGTAGCCTCACATGTAACATATGCTCAGGGACGGTTTGTTTTCCGAGCTGCTTGTCTCTTTCCCCTGTTATTGGAGGGCAGCTTGGATTTTCTGCCTTTCCCCTTGGTTTTCCAGAACAAGGTGAAGTACATCAAGCAGACGACAGCCATCCTGAAGGAGAAGTACGGGGGTGACATACCGAGAACTGTGGAGGAGCTGGTGCAGCTGCCGGGAGTTGGGCCCAAAATGGCCCACTTGGCCATGACCATTGCCTGGGACAGCGTGTCCGGGATAGGTAGGTTGGACCATGTTCTCCCCATTCCTCTCCTAAACCCTGCCTGAGCCGTTCCCCGGGCACTTTAGTCATCTGCTGAGTGTTTGGGTGGGGGAAGAATGTGACCCTCGAGCACTTACAGTGGTTGAGTTGCTATAGGATCAAAGCAAGGATCTGTTTTCCCCAGATTTGATAGCAGAAATCCTCAAGGGCAGTCACTCTGATGCGGTTAAGCAGTACAAGTATTGCCGAATTGGCAGTCCGAAGAGATGTGCTAGCAAAATCATGCTTTGAAATCTCTTCAGTGTCAAATGAAAGAGAGCTGGGGGATAACTTTGTGACTCGGGGATAGTTGTAGGATAGTCTGAGGTGGTTTTTTTTTTTCCCAGGATTGCTTCTGTTTAATCAAATTTAATGTGGGATTTCTGTTGTTTGGGAAAGCCGTAAGAGGGCAGAAGCAGGGCTTAGCCAAAATTACCGTTTGGCACCGGTGATTCGTGATGGGTCGAAACGCTCTCAGGCCATCCATAGCTGCAGAATTCCTGCTCTGGTTTCGTTCCTGCGGCTAATGTACCGCAGCTACATTTGTTTACTGAACAGCGAGCGTAGGAGGGCGCGGAGCTGGGAGGATGGTGGTGGCGATGGGCCCGGGGCAGGTTCGCTCCTGCGTGGCTGGCGGAGCGGCCGCAGCAGCCGGCAGATGGGGCTGGATGCTCAGCTGCAGGGTCCCGACGGGCTGAGGGGGGACCTTGGGGACAGATTAACGTTCCAAATGTATTTGCTGCTTCATGGAGGAGCCCTGGGGAAGCTGGGAACGGTGCCACCCGATGAATGACCACCGCCAAGGTCAGCACAGGCGGCAGCCGGGTCCTGCGGCCCTGTTGGTGACCGTCAGCTGGGTGAAAAGGTGGCCCTCGCGCTGCATTCGACAGCGCTCGGGGTCTGTTGTTCCCTCCCTGCTGTGGGGGAGGGAAGTCTAAAGGGAGCCGGAGTAGCCAACTGTTTTCCAAATAATTGTGTGCTCCGTTTTGATTTAGGAGGCAAGACTTAGGCTTCCTGTTTACAGCAATTTCCTGGGTTTTGCCCAATTAGCCATAGAGACAGGTTTATCGCTGCCGATCTAACAATAATACACTTTGCATTCAGGGCTTTTTAGCTCAAAGCACTTTATAAACACTCGTTTAAGCCTCACAAACCCTCTTGTGTTGGTAGGTATTATGAAATGTGTTTTCCATCTGGGTAAACGAAGGGGCAGAGATTGCAACTTGCATAACGCCGAAACATGGGGAGGAAGAGCCCGGGACAGGCTCCCCTGTGCCTGCTCCATCACAGCACGCCAGCCTTTGAAGGAGGGCCGGGGCTCTTGGCTCTGGGCTAGGAAGAAAGCAGCACGTTTGCCCTGCGAGTGAGCCTGTCCCCGCGGAGGAAGCCCGTGCCCTGTACCTGGTGTGCTGTGACAGGCAGTTTTTGGCTGTGCTCTCTCTCTATTCAGGTGTGTCTGCCCCCACCTAAACTCTGGGCTCTCCCTTCCTAGCTGTGGACACCCACGTGCACAGGATCACCAACAGGCTGAAGTGGGTGAAGAAGGAGACCAAATACCCCGAGGAAACTCGGGTGGCGCTGGAGGACTGGCTGCCCAGGTGAGGACCAAGGCCCTGAGCCACCTGCAGGAGCCACGTCTACACACAATCCATTTTAGCATTTGGCAGTACAGCATTTTCAGTGACTGCACTTTAGGCACCTCCTCCTTACAGGGGACCAGTCTGCAGCAGCAGCATCTCAGCCACTTGGTTGTTTCCTGGCTATCAGATATATCAATCACCACTCGTGTAACCAGGTACCTGGAGGTCTTGATGGCCAGTTCTTACCTTGACAAGCTTACCATGACCCAAGCCAGGTGCTTTTCAACACAGGACCTTGCTGAGCCTCACGGCCACAGCAGTATCAGACCACAGTTGGATTCTGGCTTTCACTGATGCTTCATCTTCAGTATCAAATGCCAGCTGACAGGTACTCTCACACCTCCACGTGCCTTAGCAGAAGAGACCAACCACAGGCACTTTGTGTGCCTGTTCTCTGCTCCCTGCCCCAGTTGAGCGGCTCAGGAAAGGCTGGGAGGGCCGTTCTTAGGAGGAGGCTGGGACCCGCCTCCAGGCGCCCGGGGAAGCCAAGAGGAACAGGCAGTAGGCGAAAGGGATCCATTTAAAAGCACGGGCTGTTCTTTAACCCCTCCGAGCAGCTGTATTGGAAAGCTCATGGTTTTTTTCCTCTCGCTGCAGGGATCTCTGGAGGGAGATCAACTGGCTCTTGGTGGGCTTTGGCCAGCAGACCTGCCTGCCCGTGAATCCCCGCTGCAACGAGTGCCTCAACCAAGACATTTGCCCAGCTGCTAAGAGACGCTGAGGGAAATCATCCTCTCTCCATAGAGTGACAAAGCTGCTCCTGCTCAGCAGCAGCCCGCAGCTGAGCCTGTGGTGAAGCCGTGCTTTGCACGGGGCTGGCTGTGTGACTGCAGGGAACCAGGAGCCTGCTGCAGCCAGCTCAGCATCTCTGGGGAAGGAGCAGCCGCTGGCACCGGCTGAGCTCTCCAGAGGAAAAAGGGTCTTTGAAAGCGCAGCAGCCGTGCTGCATCAGTGCCGAGGGCTCCAGCCCCCGTGGGAAGGCCCGAGCGTGCCCCGGTGCAGCGGCGCGCTGTGCTGCGTCAGGAGGAGCTGGGGAGAAAGGCTTTGTCCTGGGGACGTGCTGCTGCTTGTAAATGTGTGTTTAATAAAGGTGGTGGGGGTGGTTTTTTTTCCATCCGTGAGGTTTGCTGGCATCTGTAAAACACAGGGCACAGCCTGCCAAGCGTCCTGCCCAGCCTGGGCAGATTGGGCACTGCAGCGAATGAGGTACAACTGAAGGCTTCATGGGCCAAAATCAGAGGAGACCACGGCCTGGATGAGCGCCCTGGTAGCAGAGGAGCAGTGGGGACAGGAGAGAAAGCAGCGTCACTCGGCTGTGTGTGTGCCAGCAGGGTCACGGTAGCCCCAGCAGCCAGGCTGGTGTGTGCCTCAGAAGCTGACAGAGGAGACACCAGCACCATCTGTGTTTTGTTCTTCAAAGAAAGGGCAGCGCTGACTTCATTGTGGAGCTTCAAAGGAATAATTTCAGCTCCTCTTTAAACAGGCAAGGGAGGAAGCAAAGTTTATAATGCACTAAAGAAGGCTGTAATTCCGCTCCCTACCAAACAGAGGAGGAACGAGCAAATAAGCACTCGGGACATGGGAAAACGCAGTTTATTACTGACGTTACAGTGTACATTATGTCTTTACAATGCAGCTGACAGCCTTATACTTTGATTTTTTTTTTTCCAAGTTAAATGTACAAGAACTGAATAATTACTACTGAGCTACAAGATGTCAGAAATACGATAAGTGCTTTAACCAGGAGCAGTTTCCATGGACTAAGCAGAGATTAAGATTTTTTTAAATCTTATCAGTACGGACTTGCACACCTGATTTTGATCTGCATTCAAAACCTCTATGTTCTGGGGTTTTTTTTTCCCCTGTCCTGAACTCCAGTGGTGTATGAGAAGTGTGGTATTTACACAGGTTTTTGCTCTCTGATGTGCATCGTTTTGGGTCAGTGGCACGGGGAGCGCCCTGCCCTGCACGGACCGGGCACGGGAAGCAACGTGCACACCGTGGAAACTGAAGGGCTCCTTCCACAAGATTACGGATTTAGAGAAGCAAATCTTTCGGGAGGCCGAAAAGAGAGCAGGTAATTGTCTTTGAATGGGGTAGGGAAGAGGTGTCTTAACGGCAGAGCCCTGGAGGGGAGGGAAACCTCTCTGCATCCCAAACCATCGCCCCGCTGCCCATCTCATCACCGACAGCCAAGCACCTGCACCAGTTCCTCTCCCAAGTCATTACATTCAACATCTTCAGCCCATCAACATTCCTAAAAGACAACTAAAACAGAGAGCTCACCTCTTCACCCCTGAGCCTTTCCACGCTCTCCTGCCAGCCAGCGAACAGCCACGGGCCAGCCAGCGAACAGCCACGGCCATCGGCTGCCCCCTGCGGTGAAACCCAACGTCCCCCTGCCCCACACCGACCCCCAACCCGCTGCTGAGGAGAGCAGGAAACGTTATAAGGCACCTTTTAGCTCGATATTTAGGAAATACAATTATCTGACTAAGCCAGAGGCCACAGCAGCACTGGAACGCAGGGCAAAATCCCAGCCCTGCGTTTTACAGCGGTCACCGATGTCCAGGTGATTGCTGCCCTTTGCTTTTCTCCGGGGACACTGGTTTTGGCCTCGACAGCCTCGCTGTGCCCAGGCCCTTCCCACTGCTGCCTTGAAATGCTGGGATTTGGGAGCTGCTGGAGCGTGGGAGGGAGGGGACAGCCCCGTCACAGCGGGGACCCTGCCCTGGTGAACACCTCTGCAGCCTTGGAGCGCTGCGGTTCGGCTTAGTCATCCTTGCAGTAATAAAGCGCTTAATTGGGCTTAATTTGTAACGCTTTTCAGATAGGTACCAAGAGCAGGGTGTTCTCAGAGGCCGTTGAAAGCCAGAGCTGCTGCCTGCTCCATCGCCGGCCCCACAGAGACCCCATGGCTTCCCCACAGCACAACAGACCCAGTTACACCCCCGGGCTGGGGGCACCAACCTCCAGCTGGGACAAACCAGCCCCAGACCCAGCACCCAGACACAGCCAGGGCCGAGCCCCACGTCCCCAGCACCAAACCCACAGCTCACACCAGCAGTCCTGGGCTCGGATCATAGCATCACACGATGGGTTGGGTTGGAAGGAACCTTTACAGCTGATCCAGTCCAACCCCTGCAGTGAGCAGGGACATTGGTACCAGGTCAGGGTGCTCACAGCCCCATCAAGCCTGGCCTTGAATATCTCCAGGGATGGGGCCTGCAGCACCTCTGGGCAATCGGTGATCGACCACCTCATGGGGAAGAGCTTCAACAGATGGGGTTGTGCTCGCTTTCAGGTCTGTCCATAGAGTTTTCGTAGCATGTCGTGGTTCCCATCTTCTCTCGACGGCTGCAAACGGTGGGGCCCGTGGCGTTTGGGCTGTTGGGTTTGGGCTCTGCTTTTAAATCCTGCCCTCTCTCCCCTCTGCAGAGCTGTCGGGGATGAAAAAGGGGCTTTTACTGCCAGGGCAGAAGTCACTGGTGAGGAGGGAGGTTCCTGAACTAACTGGAAACATATGGGACTTCATTAAAAAAAAAAATCAAACCAAGCCAACAAAACAAACTCTTCTCATTGCGATAGCAAGGCCAGCAGCCACTGTTCGTTTCCCCATCGTAGTTAATGCTGCAGACGGGGAACACCCCACCACGGCGGGGCCACGGGGCTGTGTTTGCACAGGGGCACGGAGCATCCCGTGGGGCTCAGTCTGGGACACCCGCAAAACCAAAACACCCCATATTTTTATAAAAAAAAAGAAGTAATAAAAGCCTAAATGATGCAGGTAAGAAACAAGAGTTGAACTCTTCCAGTCTTTTTCTCATAGGAACAGGGGACGGCGGCAGCCAGAGCTGGGCTGAAGAGCAAGCAAGAAAAGGAGCTTTGGTCACATTTGTCTTATGAGAATCGCTGGTGAGTAACAATAATAATAATAATAATAAAAAATAAAACAATAAAAAAACCAGGACTGTAAAATACGCCTCGTAAAAGCAACCAGTGAAGAGCAGAGCACAAAGCATCATCTCACGTGGACACTGACGGACACGGCGTAGGCACCTCCGAAACGTCCGAGCTGGGGCAGGGGGCAGCAGGGCGGGCGGCAGCCACCAGCAAGGCTCAGAAATTGCTGAAAATCTCTCGCTTCTTGTTCCAGTCCATCTGCGGGGCTCTCTTCTTCACCCGCTTGGCCCGCACCTTCTCCTTGGCCTCGGCCGCCGTGGGGCTCAGGCTCAGCCCGCTCTCCTCAAAGGGGTCTTTCTTCTCCGCGTCCCCATCCTGCGTGAGGAGGGACAGAAAAGCCGTCAGCCCCCGGCACCGAGTCCCTCCCCGTGCGGTTTCACTGCGGCATCCGTGCGGCCGCAGAATTAATCACTGCATCGCATTTTGTGGTTTGGGGTTGTGGTTTTTTTTCCCCTGTCTGAAGAATGCGTGGCTGCCACGGCCGGAAGGGGAAAAGCAGAAGCGGCTGCCAGAGGGAAAACCAAGCTGCTCTGCTCCTGGAAAAATGGGAAAGCAGCCGCTGGTGTAGGCAGAAAACGGAGAGGAGGAGGGAGCTGGGTGAGCCTGGGGGCTCGCAGGGAGGGGTTGCGGCAAGGGCCCCCCAGGTTCATCGTCCTGGGCACCCATGGCTGACCAAGGCAGGGGTGGGGTGGTTCATCTGAGCCAGTTTCAGTGGGCACCACGCTCCGTAGCGGGCACAATCAAAAGCTTTGGCTCCATCAATCACATCTGTACTGAGGTTTTGCCAGGTCTCAGCGCCAGGCAAGGTGGAGGTGCCCAAGAAAAGCTCAGGGAGAAGTGGCTGCACGGCTGCGCTCTGCAAGCTCGTGTCAGTGGTGATCAAACAGAATCAAGACCTTCAGGTTTAAGGAAACGCTTTAAAGTCAGCCTACTCCCACTGCTGCCCTACCATCCATGCAAAACTCCAAAACACTCATTTCCCAAGCCCTGCTGATGACCACGGGCAGCTCTTCCCCCAGGACCACAAGATAACGGCTCCAGCTTTGCTCTGCGTCACGAATGCAAACCAATCTGGGGTGGTGGCTCAAAGGAGCCCACCAGGCTATGAGATGAGGGGCAGAGCCCCCCGGCACCCCCAAGGCCTCCGATTTCTGGCACAGAGCTGGGGCGTGGATCCCCGAAACAGCTCAAAGGGAGGAAGCGCCGTGCTCGGCACTGGGACCCTGGTTTCCAAAGGTGGCAGCTGATGGATCAGGCCATGCATTACTGAACCCTTGGGGAGAAGCAGAGAGGCCGGGCTGCAGGAGCTCGGCCACAGCTGGCGGCCAGGAGGGTGCCCAATGCACCCCAGCTTGTGCAACAACACTGACAATGCATTCAAAGGCATTTTTGGCACCATAAGGCAAGGAGGTACCCACAGCAGTGTGTAAAAGGGAGGGGAAATGTTTGGGGTTTTTACCTCTGACTCCTTCCCAGGACTTTGCAGGTCACTGTGAGATGAAGATGTGGATCCTCCATTCAGCTGGTGGAAATTAAAGCGTTAGTGCAGTTTGCACGAAGAATTAAAACGATAAAAAGCTGGGCAGAGAAGTGGAGGCTCCCGCTGAAGGGACCCTGCACGTGTGCGCACACATGGGACCTCCCCGGGATTTTTTGGCAGAGCCGATGCTCTCCCACATCCCCAAGGCAAAGCGTGGTCTCCGTCCTGCCAGCACCAGGCAGCCGCTGGCCTCCTCCCCCTGCGATTAAACAGGGCTGAGCCCAGCCTTGTCCAACCCCTGCA